CTTTGGCTGTTTGCTGCTCTCATGGTCAAAATAAACACTTACAGTATGATCTATCAAGGCAAACATACTTTAGTGACTTCACAGTGAGGTCATCTGTTGCTGAAGAGGAATGTTTGTTTTTCTTGCATCAAATAACTAGAAGTGCTCATACATTTAGAGAATCTTTGATTTTTAATATCAATTATAAATGTTCTATTCCAATATATATCCAATACACGGTATTTATAGTCTATAGTATATGAAACATATATCATCTCCCCACTACATTATATTATATACAAACAAAAAGAAGGTACAAAAAGATAATTGCAAGTCCAATTTTCTCATATTCTTACTTGTGTTCTTAATGTTCTCAGCTTTATTTCAATTACGCAAAATGTTCTAAATAAACATTACATCCATTAAGTGTATTATCTTTCATCTAATGAACAGCAAGTTCATATGTCAAAATCTGTCCGAGCTGCACACAGTTCATGTTGTATTTCTCTGTGGGACACATCCATCTTGTTATGCTGCATCGTTAACAATGGCGGCTAATTCTTCGCTTCTAACCAGTGTTTTCACTGCTGATTGAATTGCTTCCAAAGCCCACAAGAATGTTTAAAGTAGAAACTATGGAAATGAACCAATTGACCTCTTCTTCTGACCCTAAAGATCTCCACGCCCTGTGGGAGCAGAAACTGTCAGGCGGCACCAGAGTCGTAAAATCAAAGGGATCTGTTCTGTTATTAGATACCTACTGCCACTCCTCCTGCACGGCATACACACTGTCACACAGCTATCGTTTCAAATTAGGCTTTATGCGAGTATGTCAAATGATTTGTAGACAAATATGCAGTTTATGTCCTTTAGTTGGTTTGATTGCAACAAAAAATTGAACTAGAAAAGGTGTGTGTATGAGTGTGTGTTTGGTGTGTGTGTGTGCCCTGGTGGGCAGTCCAGCAGGGCGATTATGTCCTGTAGGGATAACCTGTCATGATGCTGAGAGCCTAATTGATGCCTGATGCTTTTCAGGGGGCAATTATAGCGCCCAAATGTCAAGCCCTAATTTGTGACTGTGTAATGTGGACACATGGGCCAGAGGAAGGGGTGCCACGGCCGCTCCGCAGGGACTCACACACTGTTGGGTCAGCAGATGTGAGCGGATGGGGGGGGAAACAGCAAGAAGAGACTAAGAAAAGCTTACCTTAATATCAAGATTATTTGAAACAACTTTAAGTAAACCACTTTCTAATACTTGTTGTTGCAATACAACAATATAAACAATGCTTTGATGCAAGTTAAAGTCCTGCATTTGAGGTTTTAACACTTTTTATTTTCCAAAAAACTAGAGATGCATTAAAGTGGCATGTGGCAATATTCTAATTTTCAATGATCACGTCACACGGTGATATGTTACTGCTGTCTTCAGCTCTAAAGAACATTTTAGTGTCTTTCAACTTATTGGCTTTCTTCTACTTCACTGTTTTGGTTTACTTTCACCATTCTCATCAAAGGATCATACTGTATGTTTTGTACTTAAAATCAAGTATCAAACTAAACTAGGAAAGTAACTAGGAACTCTATTGGTCATGTATACGTTTGCTCTGCAGTGTAGAATAAGTATACATATATAAATAATAATATAAGTTGTTGTCAACCGCTGCGTCTCATGAGTAAACATAAAGAAGTTCTGATATCATCTTGACATCCAGAGTATGCCATTGTTGTGGCCTAACCAGTTCCTTTGGTTAAATGCAGGCTCCTCTGGTGTTAATATTTAATTTTTAATGTACAATCATGGAATGTACATGTTGTTGTATCAACCAAGAACTCCATTGCAAACTAATTAAATAATATTTAACGTTAAACAAAACACTGTCAAACCCTGTTATCTTGATAAGCAAATATCACATGACTTCAGTCCTATCACATTTACCTCCTAGAGACCTGTCTGTGTCTGTGTGCAGTATGGGATGCTTCAGATGCCTCCTTCAGTTACTGTGTGTTCAGATCTCTTTAGTTAAACAAAATGTCACTCAGTGGCTGGCAGGGGCTTCAAACGCACCACAGTGTTGTTCACTACAACGTTGACAGTGCCGTCTTCTTCTTTCTCTTTCCCATAACACCTAAACAGTGCTGTTTTCTACTAATGTCTCCATGGAGATGCAAACAGACGGGCATATTTTCCACCGGAGCTGACAGATAGCGATGTTGAGTAAAACAGGTATGTTGCTCTAATTGCTGCTTGCGGAAGGTAGACCACAAAATCCTCTTAGCTATGCTGTTTAAAAGTGATTGAACTCAACCGAATACAATGTAGCAAGTGTTAACCATGATTTTATTTTCACACCACAAACACACCTACAGGATAGACCAATGTATATTTTGAATTCACTGGCTTCAGATTTCCCCTGAATGCCTCTCTCTGGACTCGAATGAGAGCTGAAAAGTATCAAGCGGCTAATGCTATACTTACACTTCTGCCGTAATCCCTATAAACACACATGCAGCTGATAATTTGTGCGCACAGCAATTTACTAAGGAATAAACAAACAACAAAGAGCCTGAAATCAATAGTTGCAGGATTCAAATGACACAAAGCACCATCCCTGTGCAAACACATTCTTAGAAGTGGCCATGGCTTTGCAGCAACAGGTGAGCTTCTCGGCACCTCCCCTGTCTTCTGCAACGCAGCCTTCTAAATATAGAAATTATGCTCTCTGATAATTGGGGGCAGACAACAAAGCCGGCTATATTTCCACCCTCCTCCTCCTCCTGCTGCTGCTGCTGCTAAGTCATATCCCCAGCTGACAAACAGCAGGTCTGAGATCAGAGTGTGAGAGCTTGAGTGCTGAGGGAACACCTGCGCCGTCTGACCGGACCGTGAAGATAGACACCGAAGATCACTGACTTCCACACCTGCCCCATGGACCCATGCCATATATATATATACACACACACACACACACACACTTGATTGGGTTTCCTCGAGAGCCCTTTAAGGTGGCCGTTGAGGAGGCGATGAAAGTCCGGGAGTGTCCATTAAGCGTGTGAGACAGAGTGTGTGCGGATGAGGGGTTTAAGTGTTTTCAGAGAGGAGACCACCTGGAGGAGGGGGAACAAAAGCATCTGTCTCAGGGCCTTGTAGACTCAGAAAACATTGGTTACACAAGTGCCGGGGAGTACTTCTGGGCATCAGGTATCACAAGTCAGGATTTCCAGCTTGTCTAAAGGGATGACCTTCAAAAGGGGGGTTGAAGAGGGGGTGAAGGTGGTTACATCTGCAAAAAGTCTGCTTTTTAATTGCGCAAGGGTGGTGGAAGGACCCCAAAAATCTTGATTGAAGGCTTGTACACACTTTCAATGTGTGGGTTAGGGTTAGGGTTAGCTGTCAAAAAAGATCCAAGAGAAGAAAGGAGAAGACTCTCGCACACTTTCCGTTTACCTGCAATGAACTTAATTAGAAAATATGGTTTGGTCCTTTTGCCAGATAAAAGGTAAAAGGACCGAAAACCAAGACTGACTTAATTCATTCCTAATCAAGACCAAATCCAAAGTGGATCGAGACCAAGTCCAATCTGAATCCGGAACTATTTGAGTCCTGTACAAGACCATAAAAGTCAAAAGTGTATTTCCGATCCTAAGTCTCTACTTTCTTGAGTAACTGCGCAATCACATAGGGACAATAGCTCATTTTGATAATGCGGGCAAAATATTGACATCAGACTAGTTGTAATGAAGGTATACAGTAAACAGCACATGTAGCAAAGTTAAAAGCCCATAATGCTTATTCAGTTTCTTTATGCGTCACACCCAAGACAATTCCGAGACCAGCAAGGCACGAGTCCAAGACAAGTTAAATACTTTGACGTGACTGAAACGTTGTATTTCTCAATAAAGTTGATTGCCGGTAAAAACAACAGTGTGCAAGAACTGTCTGGTATCTTGAAAATGACACAACAACAAAGAAGCTGCAGGTCAAAGTCATGGTCGAGTATTGCAGCAACACGCTCTTCAGTTTGGGAAAGATGGGACGGGACAGGAATGAAGCACGCCCCGTCCATCAGTCTCACGCTTGTTAACTTTTATCTGAAGCTAAGGAAAGACGAGCAGTGACAGCATCTTTCCGAAAACAAGCGGCAGAGTCCTGTTTCATGTTGTTAAAGGCTTGGCGTGTGTTTACCCGCTGGACGGGGGATGTCCACGCGCACGCAGGTTATAATACACTGGAAGGTGCTGTCATTAATCGACGACAGAAGATGTTCAAGGTGTGCAGGTGGGAAAGTCCCGCAGTATCACGGTGCAGACAGGAGAGAGTTGGCTGGTTGATACACCCCCGCTGGCTCGCCATCACACGCTGAGATCACAGGCTGAGCTTTCATGCTTCGACACAGATCTCTCCTCAGCCATGGAGGAAACTGTGCACGCTTCTCAGAAATAAATGAGCAATTCAGCTGCTTTGTACCTCCTATCTCCAACTTTTGGTTAGCTTTTTTTTGGGTAAAAATGTTGTACACAAATATACACTTTACAAGACATTTCCCCATCATTCTCAAACTGTCAGCAGAGGTTACTTAATCCTTATCGCTCTGACCTCCACTTTTATACAGCTGCTAAAGTTGCGAACTCGAGCTAAAGGTCAGATTTTATTTGGTCCTGACCATGTTGTTGCTCGGCCTCTAGGTTCAGGACAGAGCCTTTGAAGTTGTATGCATGCTCCAGGTCTACGACTCCTCTCTCGGCGTAATGGCGTCCATAAAGAAAGACAACATTGGTCTCGTAAGCCGGTTTATATGTTTAAACTCTGAAGGACAAAGGCAACCAATAAAGTTTGCTTGTCTTAAATACTGCTCTGTTAAAAGAAAAATATGTGTTGTTTAAGGAAACATTGGTTATAAGTTGACACCAACAAAATACCCTCATTTCTAATCAAATAGGCTGACAAAAAAAGCATTTTGATCACATTTTGAACAATTTATTGTTTGATAAGTCAATTTGTTGACTTCAGATTCCTCCTTTAACACATGTAACAGTAGTTTGGTTAGAATTAAAATGTCAACATTACAAAGATTATTTTTTTAATTGATTCACAGTTGCCATATTGTGATAAAAGGCACGTTTTATCACATACGTGGGGCTGTTTCCAGATGTTGCCAATATGTTTCATATTTTTGAAATGATTACAGTATCTCACTATAGCTGAGCTTTTTTCTGAATAAAAGACATAATGGTACAGTGTCTCAGTCTTTATATAATCGATACAGTCTCTAGTGGTTTTCCTATATTGCTTGTATCTAACTGTAAAAATATATATTCTCAAATAAATAAATATATAACATAAATATATGTATCTAAAAATGAATAAATAATTTGTTACACTTTTTGCTCTTTACAAACAGGTTGAGACACAGGTAAGAAAACAAAATAAAACTGAATTCCTTCAAAGTCCTTCTGAACAAACGACGGCTCTCTGACAAAATTAAAGTACTATTTCATGACTCGGCAGATTCCCATGGACCCTGTGTGACCAGAGGAGATGCCCCATGATCAGTTTCCCATTCGTCTCCTATTCCACGCAGGTACTTTAAGGGTCGTCCGGCCCTGTGAGACAAACAAGCCCCTCATGCCGAGCGTGAGCCGTCTTCCTGGCTGCTGAGAGATGGCCCATGCATTCCTACAAGAGGCCCCGGTACTTTTATCCCTGCCGGTCGGGCTGCTGTCCCCCAGCCTCCCCCGGGCACACCCCTGCCTGGGTCCCTCTCCTCTTCTCTGCTCCCTGCCTGCCAGGGCTTTAGCAGCTATTCCTGAACTGGACCGGGCCCCCAGGCCTCAGCTGTGTCCCAGGATATCCCTGTACAGCTCCGGCACACGGTCAGGGTCCACAGGCCTGGGCAAGAAGTGTGTAAATTTCTGGTGGCGCCTGGATTTAGTCCCGTCCCTTGGTGTCCCGTCTTTATTTAATGCCACAAAGTAACGCGTCCCTCTGTCTCCGTGTTTGTAGAGGTTGGACGAGTATGTGTTGTACCAGTTCTCCTCAAACTGCTCCCTGAAGACACATTCAGCTGAGAGCTTCTCCTGAAAAAGAACAGAGTGATGCAGAAATTAAACACATTCATAGTTTCTTTTAATTTACATGAATTACTGAGCTAGATTCCCGAAACTTGTTAAATAACAAATAAAGCTCCTTGTGTGCCATCAAATGGTCAAAAATAAGGATTTGGGTGACATTAACAAGCAAAGCAGGTACTTACAGATCCATACAGCTCTCCTTTGTCGTTCATCCCCAGATAGAGTCCACTGTCCACCCCTCGAATGCTTATCAACCCAACAGCAAGGCTTATGAATTCCAAAATACCTGGAGAAGAATAACACAGGTGCTCAGTACAGACTTTGACAAGGATGAAAGAATATTATAAAATAGCTCCTTTAGGAGTGTTTTGTCACAATTTATATATTTTAAAAAGAAGAGAATTATATGACAAGATTGGCATATATTATTATGTTATTGGCATTATTCTTATTCACCATTTTCTTGTTGCTTAACATTTTGATATTTGTATAACTGTGGCCAAGCACTTTACTTCCTTCTAGTGTTTGCTACCAACATATATACAACAATCGATCTCTCAGTATTTACCAAAACGACTGTGGTCCTTCCTCGTCCCTTGCACCGAGCCATCCGGAAGTATTTCCAGGTGAAATCCAGTCCTGCAGTATAACTGTCTCCTCCTGAGAATCCCTTTGAGGTGCGTTAAATCCGCCGCGGTGCTGCGCGAGAGCCTGTCCCCGGACATCATGAAGTGCTCCCCCAGAAGGGTCGGACTGTCCCCGGGAGGGGTCAGTAAGAAAGTGGACCCGACCTGTGGGACACCATCGATGCCGTGCAAGACGCCACCAACTTCCCCCAGAGCAGCAGCCATCGCGTCAAAGCTCAGTGGGTAAAGTTCAGTGAGGAGGTCCGGAGCGAGCGCTCGTGCGTAGTACACTACCTGGTTGCCACTTCCACTTATTGCATGTTTACGTCCCCCGTTACTTAGCACATGCTTATTACACGGAGTTCTCACCCTTTACATATAAACACTCACAATATCTCCGGTGCACTGATTTCTCTCTTTTCTCCGTTTTCACACCGCTGCGTCTTCATCAGTTGGGGGTATGCTGCAGTTTCCGCTCAGATAACCCTTGTGTAGCATACCTGTTCACAGCGTGATGCCTGGGTGGAGCCGTGAAGGGCACACGGCAGTGTTGGGTTCAGTGGTGCGGGCTGAGGAAACGCTGCAGTGCAGGTACAGGAGCTCCTGGAGGGTTTGCGCTCAAAGTGGCAGGGGTGGTGAGGCAGGTGCAAAACCACAGGACTAGTAATGGGCGGGGCTGTCACAGTTCAGACGTGCCCTGGCAGGGATTGTTTCCCCCTTCTCCTAAGGGCATATAAAGAGAGAGAGATAGGTGTTGGTGGGCTGTGGGTTTATACTAACTGCTATTACATCACTTAAAACCCAAATAAAAAATGTAACCAAAAAAATATGACACTTAAAATCAATATGAGACATAAGAAATAGGTCAGAGTGTGTTTCTATGTTTGTCTAAAGATTTGAACATTTCCTTCACTCTACGAATCTGACGCCTTGTAATCCCAGAGCGATTTGAAATACACACGGCATATCTCGCGAGCTCGGAGCAGCAGCAGCAGGCAGCTTGAGCGCGAGCTGCTCTTAGCCGTGAGTGAGTGTGTTATCGGTTACGACACCTTAGTGTAAACAGCCATGGCTGCCCTGCACAGGCTTATCCCTTTACTCACTAACAGCTTCAAGACAGGGACGTTTACGACGCAGAAAGCAACAAAAGTGTTGAAAGTTGTCTCCGTAGGAACCGCTGCGGCCGGGGCTGCTTACTATTATTACTACTGCTGCTCGTACAGGCGTTCCGGCTTGAAGAGCCATGTCGAGGCTCGACTCTTTCATCTGGCGCTGCCATCAGTCTCTGCCACCGATAAGGTACAGTGGGACATTTGCCAAGCTGCGCAGCTTCATTTATCTCACATATTATAGTCTAACAGGAACACCTAATGTCGTGTAAAAACGCTTCCCTTTTCCTTTCATTTGTGTCTCAAATGAACATATGCTGACAATGGTCGGGGCATCTACATTTCCATCACAATTAGCTTTTATCATATTGTGTGCACGTGAAACTACATTAATGTTACGTCGCTACGAGGAGCTATCCCGACCTTTGGTGCTGAACAGGCAAAATAGTCAGATCACGTGACCTAATTGCTACCATAAGTGAGGGGGTTGCCTGCGTTCTCTGCTTAGGCCTATATGTCGTATAATAACTAAGTATTAGCCTTGGGAACATTAAGAGAAAAAACACATGGTAGATATGTTTACAATACACTGAATTCATGGTTTGTATCAGCTGGACTAATTAACAACATACATGTAATATTATAGTCTTTCAAATAGCTGTAGCTTTGAGAAACCATTAATGTTATGTTCACATTATATGAGAGTTTTTAATTCAAATGTATTGTTCATTTTGGAGATACCTATATTGTTCTTATCGTACACCCTTTATGTATCAAGAGAGGTGGGCAAATCGTATTGATTTATCCATTCCTTATTCATTTGAATGATTCATAATTCAAACACAAGACACTAGTGGTATCCCAACTTCCATGAGCTCAACGTGACTGTCAGTTTTCTTGTTTTATTCAACAACATCTTCTAAATACAAAGTTATTCAATTTAAAGCAGTCAATTAATCTATTAGTTATCCCAAGAAACTATCACTCTTTCCAGTTTGTATTCCCTATTTTAAGTAATAGTATATGACATTTGTTGGCGCCACCTACTTCCATCAAACTGATTCATCCAAACAACTTGATAGAATCATCAGTAGTAAAGTAACCATTAGCTGCTGCCCTGAAGACCAGGAAATATTGGCACCTGTTTTTGAGAAACCTGTCACCTTAGTGATCAATTATTTAAAGTATTGTTCATGCATTACTTTTCTTTCCTTTAATGAATTAGCTTATCTTTCCAACACTACTTTAGCTTTACAGAGTTATTAACATCAGGGTTGTAATGCTTTGATCAACATAAGTGGGCGGTGGTGGCGAAGTCGATAGGGACTTCGCTTGGTAGCTGGAAGGTCACCAGTTCAAGTCCCGGCAAGTGCTACCGAGATGTCCCTGAGCAAGGCACCATTCCCCACACTGCTCCCCGGGCGCCGTTCAAAATGGCAGCACACTGCTCCTAACACTAGGATGGGTCAAATGCGGAGAAACAATTTCCCCACAAGGGATTAATAAAAGTCCATCTTATCTTATAAGTTATTGTGCCCTGTCTATTGCTCCCGATTGGCCTACATGCCAACCCTGCTACAGCAAGTCTCTTGAGTTCAGACATTGTTAACAGGATTTCATAGATCACAGGGGATGTAAACAAACATGTCAACCAGGGTCAGTTCACACAGCTACACACGTTTCCTTGTTTCATATTGGAGTGAGGAAAGCCTGCCTGCTGTCCATACAGGCAGCAGGAATCCAGGGACACAGGAAACTGGACACTGGCCTCTTGGCTGAGGGGCTGACATTTGATGAGAGGCGGGGGGTGGTTAGAGGGGGTTTAATGGTTAAGCAGAGGGGGGCACACATTCCCTGGGTGTTTGCTCTGTGCCCAGTGGACCTGGCGCTGTGCCACCTGACAGAGAGATCCACTCAGTCCTCACCAGTCCTGCCTTCTGATCTGGCTGGTTTGAACAGTTGTAGGGACATTATCTGGCGCACAGGGATGAGGAATAGGGCTGACATAACATGCACCCCATTACTGAATGAAAGCATCGGCCTCTTTGTTGTTCCCTGTGAGCGAGGCCCTTCGTGACAAGACAAGCTTCACAAAAAGCATCTTTCAGACGGTATTATCACTGTACAGATGATTTGAAGTGTGTGTGTGTGTGTGTGTGTGTGTGTGTGTGTGTGTGTGTGTGTGTGTGTGTGTGTGTGTGTGTGTGTGTGTGTGTGTGTGTGTGTGTGTGTGTGTGTGTGTTGTGTGTGTGTGTGTGTGTGTGTGTGTGTGTGTACGTGTACGTACAGGCACGGACCTATGGTTTTGGACGATGGAGATGTGTACATGTCGACCAATGAAAACAGATTTCGCCAGTTCAGTTCGGTGGAGCACGAGGGCCAGCTCTACATGACGCCACTCAACTTCCTGGAGTCCGTCACTTTGAATGAACCAAAGAGTGAGTGTACTCCTATTATTCAGCTCCTTCCAATAATACTGAACTCCCCTTGGAGGAAGGGGGCTGACAGAAGATGAACCAACAACACTTTTCACGGTTCATTTATGAATTGTTTTATAGCTTCTTGAATCAGAGTGTTTTTCTCTCGTCCATTGATTTCTCTACATTTATTTTGGTGAAACAGATCAAGGTCTATTTTAAGATCCTGTTTTGTTCTTGTTAAAACACCATTTTGTGATTTCCTAAGAAAGTTCCTGCTTCTTTTCTTTTTCGAAAAGGCAGAATAAAAAGACTGTGATGTTATCTAATTAGAGGTGCAATTATTAGTTAACTCATCCTTTAAAATGAAAGTCATTTGTCGTGCTAAAATGTCAGAAAATGCTGTTTCCAGTCCCTCAAACATGGAGATTGACTGCTTTTTTCTGTTTTAAATCATATTGAACTGAATATCACTGACAAAACAAGACATTGAAAGCCATTACCTTTGACTTCAAAATATTTGGATAGCCTTTTTTTTTACAATTTTCTGAAATATTATGGACTGTATGATAAATCAAGAAATGAAGTTTCAGATAAATCGATGCTGAGAAGAATCCTTTTCACTACCTTCCAACTAAATGTCCTTTTTTCAAATGAGTTTAGCTACCAATCATTCTTTCAGAGTGAAGTAAGTCCATTCCCTCCATAAGGACTGCTACACTGCCTCTCTAATGAGCAACCATCTCCCTAATAACACTTCTGTCAAGTCATCAGATAAACCCGCTTTTCTCCACTTAGAAAAAAAAGGTGTTTTTTCCTGGAACTTGACATGTTGCTGAGGGCCTGTGAAGTGTCATCCTCAGACAATAAGTTGCAGCTTGCAGAGCTTCAGTCATAACACCTGCATAAAGATAGGCATCTTTACCAGCAACCCCACTTTTATGGCTCATTTATGTGGCAACAAACTCGCAGAGACCCGGAGCGACCAAACAACTGTCATAAATGTACCGATAACACATTGTGATTACTGTGATTGATTATGATGGAAGGTGTGTGGCACGCTGTAATGTGTTGGACATGTCTTCACTGGAATCTAATGAGGAAGGTAAATAAGAGGCTCTAATGTATCAGCATGCTGAGTAATTGACCTCTGCTGGCTGATGTGTTGCCACACAGTGATCTGAATGTGTTATGGTTATATTGTGAAGAAGTGAAGCAGAGGATGGTGGAAATGTAGAACCATTACAGTCCAAACTAAAAGTGCTGCCATGTCAATTATTCATATTAGATCCATGAGGTTATGAAACTTTAATGAGGAAAGCATGCTCACTCTCTTAGGTGGAGAGGAAGCCATGACAATAATCCCAGGTTCAGACAGAGGCTCTAAAATGTGTCGGACGAGGGTTATTGTCACTGTTATCCGTGCCTTATCTTATCTGCTGGTTTATTGACCTTCGGAATGCGTTCATGGAGATACACAGCTTGTGTTTCTGTCCACATAAACACATGTTTTCATTTCTGTTTCCCAATTCTATTTTCCTTATATAGAATTCCCGATAAAAGCGTACTATTATATTCATAAGTAGTGGAAGAAGTATTCAGAACCTTCATATGTCTTTAAGTACTTCCTGTGAAATAAATCCACTACAAGTCCTACATTCAAAAACTCATGTTAAAGTGTGTAAGTATTAACAGCAACATTTACTTTAAGTAAATAAGTGACTTCTTTAACTTTTGATACTTAAAGTATTAAAGTATCAAAAGTGAAAGAAGTCACTGTTCAGAATCCCTGAGTTTGACTATATATATATATATATATTTATGTTGATTTAGGATTAATAAAGTGCTGCATTTTGTTTCCTTTTACTGCTGTAGATGCTTGAGGTTTTGCTTATTTGACATCATGTATAAACTGTTTAATAGTTTAATCTACAGCGGTGCATCATTTTCTATAAGGTCATCATGTTTGAAGCTTTTTTGTTACCCACTTGTCTCTTCAAATTCATTTTCTTATGAGAGAAATAACTGTTTTCAGCGTTTTGACAATGCATTTTCCAGCTGACCCAAGAGTCTTTTTAA